CAGACAGAGACAGAGACAGAGACAGACAGACAGAGAGACAGACAGAGTTTTTGTCCAATTGCTTTTGACATGGCTTGAGCTTGGGCAGAAATGCCACACCGGGGGGGTTAAGATGGATGAGGAATCATGCGAAGGGCGTTCAAACCTTTATTGCACGAGTACCGCAGCGGTTATATGGACTGCTATGATCCGTCTCACGCCATCCGACACCCTCCTTGCCACTTCTCACACGTGAAGCAACAGGAAGATGGGTATGGGATAGTACTCTCCTAGGGCTTGTACATGTGAACCGCTTTTGAGGGGCATGAAAGCAAATAGCAAGCAGATAGCAAGCATTAGCAGGCTATGTAATGGGGTCAGAAGCGGGACTTGAAGCTGCATCCATTTGAGCCGCGGCCAAGGCATCAGCCACATCCGGAGCCGAAACTCCGACCAGTTGACCAGTTTACGTAAGCATGAGGAGAGAATCAGAGGAGATCTGAGGAGCTAGTCATACTTGTAGTATATGTCATAGTTGCCACCCATCCCAACCCACACAGTGAAAAAATCTGCGGATTTGGGATGGAAATGCAGCTGCTCTTTCCGCAGCAAGGTCGAAGATCATGGGACATAGCAGCCAACACTTCGAAGAGATCTTGGGCTTTTCCTGTTGCACGGAGGCCCACGTTTGCATGGTGTGTGAAGACCAGAGACTAGACAGGCTGCCATGCTGATCCAATACTGCAAATGGTTTATAGAGTCTGAACCACACCAGCACAAGATGCCTTGGATAAACAACTCACTACTTTCAGAGAGCTTTTAATTCGGATCTTCAAGTGACAAAATACAAGGGTTACGACTGGTTGACCATTCAGGTTTGGTGTGAAAAGCCACCTGGCAGCGAAGCTCCAGCAGAGCACTCCACGTCTTCTGAGCTGACTCCCTCCCTTTGTAAAACGGAATGGGGATGGCTAGCACAGAACTGGATACCCACCCCATCCCACCCCCCAAACAAGATCCAACAAGCATGGCACAACCGTATATATATATATAACCCGCTGTTACGAAAGGCCATGGTCCACTTTCATGATTGTTGCAGGGAGGAAAGATCTGAGAATTCCTTTCGTTGGTGCCCAGACCTCACGGCAAAAACTGGGAGTGCCGGGGAGTGCAATCCTTCCGGTCTCGACTAGAAGTGGTCCCTGAGGGATGGCAGAGATGTTTCGCTTTGTTGCAGATGTCTTCATCAAGAGTGAGTGAGTGAGTGAGTGAGTGAGTGAGGGCCTCCTTAGGCCCTGGTGGCCTAGCTTTCAGTGGTGTTCCAGACTGGTGAGCAAGGGCCCGCAGTACCATGCCGGAGTGGTTTTCAGAACCATCCAGTGGATCGGACAAACTCCGGAACTCCTGCAAGTTCCGCACCCACCTGGAAGTGGGGGGTTCTTTTTTTCTTCCAGGCATGCTTTCGCAGCAACATCATCCTGACCACTTCTGCTGAGTCGTTCCTTGGCGCGACCGACGTGAATTGGAAAGCAGGTATCATTGGAAAGCTGATCACGGAACTCATGGTGGCTTGACCCCTCACGGCTTGACCCCTCGCAGTGGTCGTATTCGAGTTGATACTATACCTGAAGTAGTGACGGCGCGGCAGGTCTTCCACTTAGCATCAGATTGCTTCGACATAGACTTGAGTCGCGCGCGGCTGGTATGTGGTCTGACTGGGCACTTGTCATGGACAACGGCCATGGGTTCGGGTTCCATGGGTTCCATGTCGGCGCTTTTGGAAAGGCCCCGTCCACTCACCTGAGGGAAAAGAAACAGCCCTTTGCAACTTGTGTGAGTGTATCAAATGACCATCGTACAAGAAAGAACCCAGCACCCTCCCCAGACTTGAGTCTATAGAATGACTCATCGTCCTAAGGAAACTCCCACAGCGTCCCTTCACCAGTTTCGGCAGCTCTACGATGTTCGGCGATCAGGTGTGTCGAGGCTGTGCTTGTCTTGTTGAACCAAGAGGTTGGGTTGAAATTGCACTGGCTGTCCCAAGGCTTCATGTAGGCCACAATGACCAAAAACTTCACTGTGATCACAACACCCCCGGTGGCAATGCCGAAAAAGGTGAAGAGCGAGGCGAATTGTGGTGCACCATCGGAGAAGTCGGGCCTGTTGGCAGGATTTCTAGCCCTCTTTGGAGAAGTAGGTGATTCTTCCCAAGTCTACTAAGATGGCCCGAAGGAAGAAAACATCCGAATGAAAGAGGATTCTTCTTGGATTCTTCTTGCATTCTTAGTAAAGTCTTAGATTCTTTTAGATGATTCTACCATGTTTCTATCTGAGAATCTGGTCTCCATCCATTCGGGTCTCGCTCCGTCGTTTGACGGTCCCGTCTCCATCCGTCCGAGGCTGTTGGGCATCGAAGTGCCACCCAGCCAGCGACGTTTATCCAGCCCCGCGACGTCGGTTTCATAGGGGGTGTGGGTTTCATAGAGGATGAGAAGGGGCCTGAGAAGGGGAAGATCTTGCAAGAAAGATCCAGCAAATCTCAGAGATCATGAGAATCATGGTCTGTTTGGTTGGTGTTTGGGTGTCAAGATATGGCAGGAGGCGTTCTGTGAGAGTGAATCAAGTTTGTTTGCTGGGTTCATGAAAAGGCTTCATGTCGTTGGGTACTTGTCGGTTTAGTGATATTGTTTTCTTGGGAGGTGCATATGATGAGATCAATTGAGATCATATATGAGCGAGTTTGCAAGTTTGAACGCGAGACCCTGCGCACACAGACCTGCCAGCGTTTGTTCCATCAGACCTGCCAGCGTTTGTAAGCTTGGAAGGAGGTGTTTGGGGCATTTGTGACCGGCGAAGTACCTTACTTTTGAGCCACAACCTCGGGTCTTCGAGTCATGTGATTCCAAGAAGTCATCGGACAAATTGAGATCGGAATACCTAGCCTAGGCGACCTAGGCCCCAACGATGGCGCGAGCCACTGGCACCATCCACCCTCTTCCATATCCATATGGGGCTCTTCCCTCTCAAGCGGACGATTGGGAGTCATGGGTGCCGGGCACCCGAGTCCAAGCATATAGCCGTGCGCCGTGCTGCGTGCCCGGCGGTGCAGAGCTCACATGATACCCCGGGGGCATCTGGACGTCCCTGGCGCCATGCAGAGCCGGATGCGGAGCCGGTTCGATGTGAGGAGATGCATCGAGATCCTTTGAGCACTAGCTGCGTCCGGGGCTTCCTCTCCTCGACGTCTCGCCCAAAAAGCACGGCGGCGAACGACGGCACTCGCTGGGACAACGGTCTGGGTGTCAGGATCCGGTGGTCCCTGTGGCTGAAAACACCTTCCTGCTGTTCCAAAGACTCTTGCGAGTCAGTGAGTCATGATGGGATTTGTGAATAGCACCCCGTAGGAAACCAGTCAGGGTTGGTCTCCAGGTAGTCATATCTCCAGCTAGTCTGATCCAGGAGTTGCTTTTGGAAAGGAAACAGAGGGAAATAAAGATGAATCGCAGACTTCCTTGTTTGTTGAACTGATTTTAGACAGGAAAGCCAACAAAGTGAAGAGAAACTCCTATTTTGTAGTGGTGACTTACGAGAAAGGGGATAAGGAAAGTAATTAAGTATGCAACAAACGGGCTTTGAATGGCTTTGAGGGCAACACTTATTGCCAAGTACCGTTGGATCGGCTAATAGGCCTGACTGGACCCACGTCAGGCCATGGAATTGGATGAAAAAGGTTTTCCCCTCATGGCCGAAAGGTTTTCGACTGCCGACAGGTGTTCCAGACGACAGGCTGCTTGAGTGGCGGGGTCACCCGTACAGACAACTCGACTCTACCACTCATACAAGTAGGTTTTCCATGGTTTTCCATTGGACACCCGGACACCCCGTCAAAGAGGGACGTGAGGATGTCCCGTTTCGTGCGGCGCCCGTTTCGGAGAAACTCTGTGCCCGTTTTGGGATGTGACGAGGGATGCGATTCGCTCGCTCTTCCGGCCCACGGAGGGCGGGTGATTTGGGGGAAGAAGATCTAGGGCCCCAGGTTCCCAACCGAACATGTCTTTTGGAACATGGATGAATGTGCCCAGAACTTCTATCCATTTAGATCGCTCGCCCTGAATGGCGGCAGAACAGCCATTCAATGACCTTTGTGGCTCGAGAGGTGCGGGTATACTGCATTGCTTTGGCCAAGAAAACCCTTTATGGCGTCGCCTTGGCCCCTGAATCCACCCTTGCCGTCGAGTCCTAAGCCACAGAAGCGCCGCCCATCGGGCTCGTCGAGCCATTTGGTCCGACGATGGAAGAGTGATCCAGCGGGGCTGAGCAACGGAGAGGGGACGAGATTGGATTCCAGTGCTTCCTCCAGCTCCGTGCAGGTCCAGGATCTTTCTTCCCGAAACAGTGTGGTCAGACTAATGTTGACTCTTGATTAATAAACCCCCCCCCCCCCCCCCCCCCCCCCCCCCTCAACAATTGAGACTCCAGAACAATGTGATAGAAAAACAATCAATTGATAAATAAATAAGGAATCCTTAGCTAGCTACCTCTGGAGCTACTCTGGCAATACTAAAATGAAAGGAATCATTACTTAGCTATCTCTGTCAATACTAAAAATGAAAGGAATAATGTCCAAAGACCTTCAAAATCATCAAATTCCAATGGAATTCTATAACATTTCAATGGAAATCTGCATCCAAAGACCTTCAAAATCATCAAATTCCAATGGAAATCTATAAAAGTTCAATGGAAATCAATAAGGACAACTTTTGGAAATATTTTGCAATTTTTTATACAGAAAGTGCGCACTGACTTTTGGAAACTTTTGGAAAGCTTCACAACTAAAGAGCTTAGGAAAAGTAAATAAGGAATAGAGGGTGAGTAAAGCAAATCAAAAGGCAAAGAAAAGGAGACACATATTTAAAGCCTCAAATCTCTAGACATTATTCTAGGGGCCCCCCTAAATAATGTCAGAAAGCTGCTTGCTGGACTACCCCCTTTGCTTGATTGATTTTTTTTGTTTTTCAATACTTTTGAATAAGGGATTTTATAAAGAAAGTGCGCACTGACTTTTGGAAACTTTTGGAAAGCTTCACAACTAAAGAGCTTAGGAAAAGTAAATAAGGAATAGAGGGTGAGTAAAGCAAATCAAAAGGCAAAGAAAAGGAAACACATATTTAAAGCCTCAAATCTCTAGACATTATTCTAGGGCCCCCCC